GGTTCCACTCTCCCACGTGCTCATCCAGCAGGAGATGCCGCAGGTCATTTCTAGCCAAGACCTCCAGAAGAGGTTACTCTGCAATGGGGGGTTTGCCCAGGGAACCGAAGGCAGTCGTCAAAGCTGTTCTTTTCTCCCATTTGTCAAAGAGTCAGAAAAAACGAGAGTTAACGCCGCTAGCCCCTTCCATTGCAGGATCTCAGACTGCGTCACAGACACGCTGTTACCATTTGACACCTCTTGCTCTCGGTATTCATATGGTCCTCTCACCTGCAGTGCCACACCGGCAAAGCGGGCCTGAGAGGCGCAAGTGGCCTGCCCTAGATCCCAAAGCGGAGCCACAGAGAACACAGCTCTTCGGAGTTCCCCTCCCGTGCTCCGGACACAAGCCCCAACAGATCAGAGCATTCAGATCCTTTCCTAGCTATACGTGTCAGAAAACAAGAGAGAACTCCCCACTTCGGAGTGTAGGCACATGCGTGTTTGTGTGTAGCAGACGCTGCAGCCAAAATCCCCCATCCGGATGGTGAACAATTCCCCCTCTAGTGGCAAGCAGGGGCCAGTGCATGTCACTGGACAATGGAGATCTCAAAACTTTATTCTGCATGGGACTCCTATCAGCCTTTGTAGCAGACAGCTGCTGAATGCATACGCCCCTGTGGATAACACAGAGGTTCATCAGTGTGCATTTAGGTAAGCAGCCCCATCCATTTTACAATACACCATTTGGCCCAGTGCAAGAATCATTCAGAATTTCCTCTTTATAAAGGTCAACTCCCTAATTCCATTCCACCTGTGGGTGAGCTGGCAGTTCTTTTCCAGTTTCCTTTGTGCCTTTCGTCACTGTTCATTGAAAAGGTTTTTCTGTTTTAGGTTTAATCAATACCTTTTAAAATGTCTGGAAAGGAAAATCAGGATGGGCTTTAGGGATTTTTTGGTCCCCACTGTGAAGAAGGAAACGTAAACTCATAAATCTAAAAATGTGTTAGAATTCTAATTTCAAACCACACAAGAAATCAAACACAGTCATTATGTCAATAGAGTCCATCTAGCAACGTTCCGCATTGTTAGCAGAGACAGAGAGCAGAGATAATGCTATTACTCATCACAGCGACTACTTCGCTAATCATAATTAGCCTGTGTTCATCTTCCCAGATGAACATCTCATTCCCTGCTAAGCGTCTGGTAGCATCTCTCTCTGGCACTGCAAAACTGCTAAGGAGCTGATCCTGCTCCCAGTGGGATCAATGACAAAACACCCACTGACATCAGGAGGTCCAGGAGAGAGCTGCCAAAGCAAAATTCTGCAGATCTCTAGCACGTTTTTCTGTAGTTCTTCAGCCATGCCACCTAGTGCGGTGAGGCTACCAGTTCCCCAAAGCTAAGGACCGACATGCTTTGGTCTAATTAAAGTCTTTGGGCTCAATGTTAGGGGTATAGAGGTGAAAATTAATAGACTGTGATATACAGGAGGTCAGGCTAGATGATCTAATGGTCGCTTCTGGTCTTAAACGATGAAGCTATAAAAGCACTATTGGTAATTCAGCAGCTGGTGTTCTCTTCTCTGGCTCTACCTCCATTGCTCCCCTGCCGTTTCAATTAGATACAGGACTGAATGGAAGATATTCCTGGAAGCGAATGACTGGTGTGTTGTGTTGCTATGTGATACGTACAAGAATCCCTGTTGTACAAATGATATACAGGGACCCTCATCCTCCCATGATTTGCAGTTACCTATGGGATGAAATTCACCAGCTGTTTATTAATTCTCTAATAGGGACTGGCTCATAACATCACCTTGGGATCTGGACCCAAATTTTGTGGCTGGGTCCATGTCTGAATTGTAAATTCCTTGGGTATTATTGAGGGTGGATGGCGTTATATAAATGTACAGCCATTATCATTTGTGACCTCCTGGGCAAGGTTCCCATTGAAGTCAACTGCGGCTCAACATGTGGAGTTAGCATGGGAGTAGAAGCCAGAAACTACTGAGTCCTGATCCCACCTCGGTCAACCTGTGTGACCTCGGACAGGTCTGGAAAATGGTTGGAAAATGGCATTCAATTTTCATGAAAAAAATGTGACTCTCCATCCCCACCAAAAATAAATAAATCTGAATTTCATTTTTTTTTAAACCAGCTCTGCCTGTTGCCTCATCTGCAAAATGGGGATAAAGCTATGGATAATTATTACCCTTTGTTATTTGCATTGCAGTAACTCTAGGAGTGTCAGTCATGGACCAGAACCCCAATGTGCTAGATGCTGTACAAACAGACAATCCCTTTCCTACAGAGCTATAGTTAATGTCTGCAGAGTGACGGGACACTGTGAAGGGTTAGATACACTCTAAGTACTGTCACTTGCTAGAGATTCATTGGGAGGACTGGTAAGGAGAATAGTTCTCATCATACGACTAAACCTTTTACTTACCCTCCAAGCACCCTGGGCCTAGTTACGTCTTTTGATGTCAGTGGAGTTACCCTTGATTTACACAAGTGTAAGAAGAATCAGCTGTTTCACCAGCCCAGATGTTCTGGAGAGAACAAATATTCTGCCTGCTAAGCAGAGTTTACTTTGACAACTGCTTTACGTGTAATTAGGGTATTACATGCTAAACCCAGGTAATCGTTTCTAAATGCTGCAGAGAACCCAGGAGGGCTGCAAACTGCAGCAATGTGGGAACATCGGGGTTAATGGATTCTGGATACTGCAGTTTGATAATTAATCTCTGCTTTGAATATCTGATTGAAATGTCAGTGGATTAGAGGCAGGCTGCTCGTTTTGAAGGACGCTTTAAGGAAAACACCTTTCCATCCATCCTAGGAAGCAATCGGGCACTAAGGCCTGCCCGGAGAGCTGGTGCAGTCCGGGGTGCTGGAGATTTCTCAAGGCACAAATGACAGTGAGGTCCCTAACTCGCAATGGGACTCGGGCACCGAACTGCTATTTGTCTCAGGCTGGTCTCTGGGACACAGATGGTCAATGACTTGCAAAGGAAATGTAGCCCATCAGGATACTATCGAGAGCTCTTCTAGGTACTGGAAAAAAACCCACAGCAAACTCCAGCCGCATGGCACCCGGCAGAGTGGCACTTCAAAAGCCCAGCCACAATGGAGCAGGCTGCTCTCCACGCGCCCAATTTATGAGCTTTGAAATGATAAACAGCAAAGCATGGCGATAATAGCTCATTTATGTGCTGCATTAAGCACCCCTGAGGACCCCTTCAGACAACCAAACAAGGCTGTCTCTGTGTCCCATACATATGGATGAGTGGCAGGCAAAATGGAAGCAAAGCCATTACAAAAGGGCTCAATTAAGGATACTAATCAAAAGGCGAGGGAGGGCTAATGGGGACTAGTGCCTCCAAGAGGCACTTCCTGTTGCATGGAAGGCCCACAAGCTTATGTATGGCCCATTGTCCAATGGGAGGGACATGGACACTTCGCCTGTGCACATTCTGAAGCGGCCCCAGACTGTGCATCTCATCAAACAAAGACTGTATGAAATTAATAACGCATGCAAATGTATGCAAATGTTGCTGCTTTTAAAGATAGGAATGGGTTTTAAACGTGAAGATTAGCGGCATGTTAATTTTGTAAACAGGCACAGTGCCAGGGCCACAGCAACAGGCTTCCCAGTGTTGTGCCAGTGTCTAGACGGTTTGGGGGATCGCTTGCAGAGGGTTCGGCGAGAGAAGGTGAAAGTGATTGAGGCTCTGGGGCGATCTGTGCTCGAGAGAGTGGGACTGGTTAGAGATGAATGAGAGGTGATACGAAAAAGGCCTATTCAGTAATGGACGGCACAGAGAAGATAAATCAGGTGCATCCGTTACACTTCATCGCAACTAGGACACAGTCAATGAAATGGAAAGGCAACAGGCTTCACAATGACAAAAGGAAATACTTACAAACAAACAAACCCAAACCACGTCATTGGCCTGGGGAACTCATTGCCACAGCACATCATTGGGGCCAAGAGGTTAACGTGATTCAAAAGAGGCTTACACATGAGAACACCCACAGCTACTTTTTGTAGGGTAAAAAAAATATCTGCAACGCTATAAACCAATCTCTATCTAATGCGGGAGGAGGGAGTAAAGGGGGTAGAAGGAACTTCTGCTATGGGCAGCTAACCCAGCATTTTAACTACAAAGTTTCTGGCACCTCCAAGCAGCTGGAACTGGCCAACTGTTGAGACAGGATATTGAGCTAAATGGGCTGATCCACTCTGCCAATTCCTGTGTTCCGTGGCTGTTTGCTTTGCTATTTGTAGGGTCCCTAGCAGGGCCTGCTGCTTTTCTCAATGGAAATAAAGTGCACAGCATGATACCACTGCTAAGAAATCCGACCTTAACTGCATAGCATGGTCAGCCCTAACGCTGATAGGGCATCTTACTGTATAATAACAAACCACCGTGCCTATGAATGACTGACCCTACAGTAACAAGCCAGTGGGTAGAGATGTCAGCATCAATCCTACAATAACAAAGCCTGCTTATCTCAGTGAGTGATCCTACAGTAAGTAACTAAACCCCATCTCCCAAACAGCAGACCTGATTATCATTTCACTCACAGAGTAAACCAGGAGTACATTCATTGATTTAACTGGAGCTGCCATGGTGTGAAACCAGTTTAAGTGAGATCAGAATCAGGCCCTATGAAGTAACCCAACAGTACAATAACAAACCATGTACACTGTCTGAATCATGAGCAGCCCTACAATAACGAAGGATGCTCAGCCTGGTGCTCCAGTTATCCCACAGCCAGGAAGGGGAAATAAACAGTCCATGCAGTCTGACAATCATGAGCAACCCTACAATAACAACCTAGCCCATCTCTGTGCAATGGAGGAAATGTAATTGAATTAAGGGAAGAACGGGTTTAAGTTGCAGGCTCTTGGGAGTGGGACATCAAGCAGCAAAATGATTCTGAACTCGGCAAAGGGCAGCGAGCGTGATGTGCGGTGGCAGTCTGGAGCCGTGGCATCGGAGCGCCCCTTACCTGGCTATGACAAACAGCACACAGCTGACCCCCAAGTAGGCGAGGAGAATGTACATCCAAATGTCAGGAGACAAGGGGTTGAGGAAGGAAAACACACTGGGATTGGTCCCGTTGGGCTTCCGGTACAGAATGCTGACCCCCAATGTCATGAAAGGCTTGGAGAAGTCTATCGCTTTCTCCCGGACGTGGGTGATCGTGAGAGGAGCAACGGCCAGATCAGCTTTCTGTGCGGCAACACAGAGGGAGAGAGAGACAGAGGGAGAGAGAGAGAGAGAAGCCATTAGAAACCAAGGCACTTCCATCCCCAGCTAAGCACGCTGCCTCCTCAGACCGGCCGCCCTCCTGGGAGCCTGACTTCACGGCGCTCAGGGCAGGGGAGAAGCCTACCGAATGCAGGGAGCAGCAGCAAGTGTTTGGTAAATTCCCTCTGATGTTTATTCCAACTTGGGGCAGGCCTGGCCTCACCCAAAGCAGAAACACACCAGCCCCTCCTCGGCTTCCCCCCCCAATCTGAAGACGACGACGATACCAGGATCTTAGGAAGCAGTTTGGGTCTCGATGGGTGGAGTTTGGGCTAGTGCCACAGAAATCGGTTTATACCAACTGTGGATCGGCCCAAGGGTTGCAGAGTCAGGGACGTATCAGAACTGAGCGGACGCGAAACATTTAGCGATTTGTTCTTCACGCTTTGACTCAGTTCACCACGAAACTCACCCGGGCCAGTCCACAGGGTCCCGTGCCCACCCTGCTCAGTGACACATCCCGGGGGGGACGGGGGGTTCGGACAAATCACCAGCAGTCAAAGCACAGTCAGCCGAAGGGCTCAAGGCTCAGGGCCAGACCAGGTTTGCCTGGCGACAAGGGGGAGAGACGGAAGGGGGGAGGAGGGAGATGGAAAAAAGCACATAGACATATGGAGGAGATGCTCTTTCCCCCAGTTCGTGTACACACGGGCCATTCCAGTAGCACCTGGAGGACCTGATTGACACCAGAGGGAGAGAGAGTCCCTGCCCCTAAGGGTATGCAATATAAACAGCCACAGATGGGAGGGGAAACTGAGGCACCAAGCGCAGCAGTGACTTGCCCAGGTTGTCACAGAAGGTCGGTGGGAGAGGCAGGAATAGAGCCCAGGTCTCCCCACCCCAGCCTCGGGCTCTAACCACCTGACCACACAGCCCCTCTGTTAGGGTCACTTGGGTTTGCAGCACATGTTGCCTGGAGACTAGAACCTAAAGCTTGCTAGCTCCACACCAACCCAACCCTGGGCAGGCTCCTTCTCCCGGGGCAGGATCCTGTGTGGTACTGAGCACTGTCCAATCCCACTGCAGTTGCCATGCTGAACTGGGCCTAAACCACAGGGCCAAATTCTAATCCTGGCCCCTCAGGGCAGATCGGCTCCAGGATTTTCCTCTTCCTTTGCCTGTGGGATCTGTCAGGAGTACGCAGCTGCTGGAGCAAGAGGAGAAGTCTGCCCCCCGTGCAGCTTTTCATCCTGGGGAGCCTGGCCTGCCCTCTGGGTGTGTGTCCGTCTAGCCATCACCTACATCTGTCCTGGTTCTCACACCAGTGCCCAGGGAGGCCACACAGAAATCATCATCATGAATAATAATGGCGATAGCCACAGGATCCTGTGATGCCCTCAGGGCAGCTGGGTCTTGCAGTGCCCAGCCCTTGGCGCGCAAGCAGCTCACGCAGAGAGATGGATTTGTGATGCAGCTTCAACTTATTATGCTTCTATTAATCTCAACAAGGCCACAGGGATCTCCTTCCTTTTAATTATTCAGTTTACCCCTTCCCTCCCCCCCACCCCTGCACTCCCTCCCTGGTTCCTGCTTCTTTCTTCAGCCCGTTTGTTTTCCCCCTTGGGATGTTGCGAACCACCATCTTTAGGGAGGGTCTCGGCTCCCATTAATATGGCACGGGGGGGGGGGGAGGGCGTACTGCTGCTCAGAAGCCCCCGTGTCCTGGTTGCAGCTCTGACTGCTCAGCTACTGTCTTCCTCCTCGCTGGGTGTAGGCAGGGCTACGATGCTCACAGGATGGCTCGTTATGGCTTCCCTGAGCAGGGTCCCCTCTGAGCCTGCAAAGTGTGTGGGGGTGGACATGGGGGCAGAGATGGGGGGGGAGGCTCCACTTATGCTGGTGCCCCATGAGTTGTAAGTCCTCCTAGGGAGTCTAGCTGGGGATGAGATGCTTCCCCAGAAGTTATCTGCACCCTGATCTGCATTCAGGGCCTGGGTCAAAGTCCCCTGAAGTCAACGAGATTCCTGCTATCTACAATGGGGTTTGGATCAGGCTTGGACCATACGTTAACCATGCAGATCCCAGGGGGCAGGCAGAGGGTGAGGTGGGTAGGTCTTGTGGTAATTATAAATACCTTCCATGGATAAAAAGAAATGCAGTTGGATGGTGCAGAACCTACTTAATGAATGGGGCCCGGGTCTGTATGAGGTGACACTGGTATAAATTCACCACCCTCAAGGAAGTGGCTTCAGATGTACGCCAGCGTATCGGCAGGCAGAATTTGGTCCACCTTGTTTAATAATTACAGTCTGTAACTTTACTGCGTAGCTCTTCTGTTGATCCTAGGTACATAAACACTGTGCTTACCAGCGGGAGAGGTTCTGTTCTGAGGGGGTTTGACCCAGCTGTGATCTGCCCAGGAATGAGTTTGCATTTTTAATAGACTTCATGATAGATCCAGGGACAATGTATTTTAAAATGTCCTAACCTGTGGCTGTGACCTTGCCCCCTGCAGCAACACTTAACAACCAGCGATTTCAGCGTGCTGCAAATCCCATCCTACATAGAAGGCATATTTTTTGGCCTTCGTTTCAATGTTGCTTCAAGTACAGAATGTCACAGAGGGAGGCCATCCCAGAAATTAAGTAGCAGGAAGTAATATTCTAGCAGCATGAGGTAGAGTGTTCATTTTCTTTCCCCACAGTCGACTTCATGGTGAAACTTGATAGGCTCTCCGTGGACACCCCAGAGAGTCAAAGTAGTACCAGAGCTTTAGGATGCTGGGGGGGGTGTCTCGGTGCTGAGTGTGAATGAAGGAGGGGACATTTTGTACTATGCTTCTGTTCCTCACGTCTCATGTCTTACTGCAAACACCCCCAGTGATAGGCTTCTGCTAATTCTGCGTGAAACTCAGAGCACATGGCCTAGGCACCACCTAGTATGTACGTGGGGCTTCACAGAGGTCACATCTCTTCGGCTGGATTTCTGCACAGAGGGACTTTCACCCGAATGTGGGTACTTATAGTTTCAGTGATTGGACAGGCTGGTTTGGCAAAGCCCTAACCTTTTCTATGGGTCTGTTTGGGGTAGCATGCGTTACTCCTTGTACGTGCGTTTAGAGTTCAGGCAGGCACATTTAAAACAAATATAAATAACTACAGTTAAGCCAGTTGGCTGAATGGCAGCTAGGGAATGGCAAATCAGTTCAAATCCAATACAAACCAGCCCTGAAGCTCAAACCAAACGGAAATGGAAGCTTTGTCCAGGGCTCAGAACAGTCTCTTACTGATTTATTTTTGATGCTGTCCACCTCCCTCTTTCCTGGTTTTTGACTTGAAGCAGAAATACCAGGATGCCACACAAATGGCCGTTCCTGCGATATCTCCAGCTTGTCTTAGGCCGCAAGCTTTGTGGGCGGGGCCCCTCTCTATATGTCTGTACAGCACCTAACATAATGGGGCTCCAGAAGGCCTCTAGGCACTACTGTCATACAAATAATGGTAATAAACAATGAGAAGAGAGATTTTCAGAAGTACCTAAGGGGATCAGGAGCACAAATTGCACTGAATAATAGTCTAGCTCAGGGATCGGCAACCTTTGGCACGCGGCCCATCAGGGAAAGCTGCTGGCGGGCTGGGAGAGTTTGTTTACCTGCAGCGTCCGCAGGTTCGGCCGATCACAGCTCCCACTGGCCGCGGTTCGCTGCTCCAGGCCAATAGGAGCTGCTGGAAGCAGTGCGGGCCGAGGGATGTGCTGGCCGCCAGTTCCCGCAGCCCCCATTAGCCTGGAACAGCAAACCGCGGCCAGTGGGAGCTGCAATCGGCTGAACCTGCGGATGCTGTAGGGAAACAAACCGTCCCGGCCCACCAGCGGTTTTCCCTGATAGGCTGCGTGCCAAGGTTGCCGATCCCTGGTCTAGCTGAGCTCAAAGGTCAGGAGGCCCCGTGGCAAACAGGCCAGCATGAAGCCAGAGAAGTGTTTAGTTCAGCATCTCAAAATTCACCAAAACTCTGAACCTGTCACAAGTTCTGTTTCCTTTGGACTCCTTTTGTCTCAGCCTCAAAAAGAGGGTGAAGTTTGAAATCTTTATCCATCCACCAAGACCGAGGATGAAACCAGCAAATTCCACCTGCTACTTAAGCAGGATTTGAACTCTGGTCCTGGCAGTTTAAGGAAATCTGTTGCCATGTCAACAACCCAGATCACTCAACAGAGGTAAATGCATCATGTGCCCAAGATACACACTCAACCTTTTTCTCGTCTAGTCTATCTAGGTTCCTAGACCACACTCATCACCCTAGTATCTGCGCATAGGGAGCCACTAGTGCATCAAGCAACGTTACTAACGTCTGTCGCACCAATGTGGAAACTCGGGCACACTGAGGTTGCAACAAGGCACTGCCAGAGCCGCCTCAAAGTGCTGGTGGAACAATCTCCGTTCTCCGACAGGCAGTTTACTTTCCCGGACATGCTTTATGGTAATTTGTAACAGCTGAAAGCAGTGTTTGTGTCTGAGTATAAAATATCATGTATCCAACATTTCCACAGCTTCTGACAGAGCTCACTAAAATCCAAAGCTTTTACAACCAATTTTTCATTATGTGCAAAACCGGCTACAACCCCAGCGGCACATGTAACCCAGGTCACTTAGGCACACATGGTCACATCCTTCCTCATCCTTAACACGATTTCTTGATGCAGTCTGGCATTGCCCTGGCTTTTCACTTCTTTTCCCTGTCAGACTGAGTAGGACGGCCCCAATGTGCACCCTTAAAACCACTCTCATGCGCAGCTTTGCTGGCCAGCCATGAACAGGTGCCTGGCAACAAGAAATTCACCCAGCAAGTTTAAGCCCTGAAGGTAGAAACTGCAAAACATTCAGCTGCTCTGGATGACTAATGATAGCATTTTAAGGGTGCACCAGACACCACAATCCTTGAGGCATCTCTGTCATGTGGAAACTGAGCACATACGCTGCTGTA